AAAACTCACTCCAGAAATTCTACTGAACTACACTTTCAGAGGAAAACAAAATAACACTTACTAAATTTGGTACTCTTTTGCTACATCATGATTAATTTTTTTGTTCAATGTTTGTAAAAGTTTTTTGTTTCCTTGTCACTGGTTAAAATTTTAAGTCTTGAAAATAAAATACACTGCATTATACATTATGTTGAGTCCAAATGCAAAGGTTCAGTTTATTAACCAGCAATAAAATCTAGTCCTGAAATTTATATATAAAAACATTCATCTTATTCAAAGAATTTCATCTACTTAATGTATAGTGTATAAAAGAATGTAAAAAAAAAAAAAAGGTATCATGATTAAATCTAATTAGACACATCGAACACTGCAGATTTTTACTCCTGAATAGCTATCTATATTATGGCATCCAAAGATCAGAAAAATACAGTAACATTCACCTGTTAAAATGTATCATGTTAAACTACTTTAATAGGATGTGTCTGTAGCATTTACATTATTTCCTCATGAAGTTTATTTTGATCATTTCTGTTGAGCCTGACTCTCTATCAGTGGCTTTTGCTGTCATTTCTGTGAAGCCAAACTTTATTTCGAGTCTAATTTCACGATCCAATCCAAGTGCAGTGTTAGGAGACTGAACAGTGAATGAGCCCACTTCCTCCACGTGTGGTTCATCAATGTATGTTACATTTTTTCTTACTGTGCGATAAAATGAAAAGGTGATTTCTGTCTGATCTGCTTGCACAGGATGCAAGGTGTGCTTTCTGGTTTCATTCCAGGAAACATCCTCGTCATACTCCACCAATTTCTTAAATAGGTCTTTGCACCATTCACCATCCTTGTTAGTGAATTTCTTCTCTGCCTTGTGCCTGAACTTATCAAATTTCTGAGAAACACCAACTCCATAAGTGAATGCACCTTTTCTAGATTCCACCACTCCCTGGTTTCTTCCAAATTCTATAGCTCCCCTCAAAATAGCTTCTTGTGGCCTGAATGGGCACAAAACTTTATAGTCATGAAACTCCTCAGCGACATGGTTACGTAGAATTTCACTGTCAGCGAACCCTCCCACTAACAGGATGTACTTAATTTTGAATGCTTTATCAACTATTTCTTCAAGACTCTGGCTAATACCTTGCAGACTCTCTTCGAAAAAGGATTTCATTTTCTCTCGAGAGATTTTGATTGCTCCGTCATCCCAGGATGCCCCCTGCACTTTTCTGAAGAGTTTTTCAATCTTTTTCTTTTTTTTCTCTGCCAGTTTTCCTAGGTTAAATGGGCAGGGGATTTCAACGTCATCATCAGTTTTTTTGAAAAGTGTGAATTCATACATTAACTTCTGAAGCTCACTGGGATATTTCTTTTCATACTCATCCCAGAGTCCATCTGAGAATATTTTGCTGAGAAACTGTTTGAATTTTCTGTCCACAGTTTGTCCTCCCAGGTCATTCCCAGAGGCCTTGTGTAGCTCCTTCAAGGTTCCTCCTTGCAGGACTTCATGAACAGTAATGTCAATGGTTCCACCTGCAAAAACAAGAGGAAATTATTTATTTAAGGAAAATTAACAGTGGCTCTACCTTAGTTATAAAAACAAAACAGACTTTAAGGGGTTAATGGCCACAAAAGTCTTTTTATATATTAAATAATGAGTTTTCTATTTTAAATTCTCAAATTATTAAATTTAGCATTTCTGAAAAGTAGAAAAGCCCAGTAACTTGGAAGTTTCAACATTTTATAAGACTTTTTTTTTTATATGAAAGGCATTAAAAGGTAAATTTCTATTAAAACACTGTACCTCCACAATCAACAACGATGTATTGAGTTCCTGGTGACTGGTCAAGTTTTTTTTTACCAAGATTTTCGGTTATAAAACCCTCTGATGGAAGTTTCTTACAATAAACTGAAGCTGCTTCTGGTTCCAGTGCAATGACCAGTTTATCTTCATTTCCTCTGGTAACAATACCGGCCTTGAAGGAGGAAAAAAATAATTATTTATTAACATATTAGGAGAGAAACAAACAGGTTTGGCTTCAAACCATGGAAGTCTAAATATTGCCAGTTACCCGAGTTGCAGCTTCTCTCATGAACTGTTTAGCTGAATGATCCCAGATGGCAGGAACTGTCAGCACCCAGGTGAAGTCAGCAGCTGCGAATTTTCTTCCTTGAGTGTTTTGTGCAATCGTTGTCAAAGCGTCGTCCTTCAGAAATTTTAGAGCTTCTGTAAAAACCTGCAGCGCTTTCATTTCTTTCCCGTTTGCAGCTTTAATCTTCAGATCCAGGCTAAGTTTCTGAAGAATTGGAATCATTATCTTAGTAAAATAGTCTTTACATAAATGTAATCCAACATGGAACCAGGTAAATTAACTTTATGCGTAAATGTTCTACTTACCTTTCCATAGAGTGACATCTTAAAACTTTCAAAGAATAAATAATCTTTGGCATCTGCTCCCAGTTTCGACAGATATGTTTCTTTAGCATCATATCCAAAGCTGTTAAACTCTTTTTGTCCGTTAAAAAGAATGCAGGAGGGAGTCTTCGGTGTCTCTTTTCCATATTTCTTTCCCCAATACTTCACTTGGGGGTCAATTTCTTGCTGCCTGGATGTTATGTTGAAAGCATATCCACTGAATGAAGTACCAAGGTCTACAGCTATAATGAAAGAGTCTCCCATTGTAGGAACAGGTCTTGTTGCTAAAGTGTGCTGCCAATGTTGCTGTAGGTATATAATCTAAGTAGGCAGGACTTACTGGAAGTCCGAACCACTCCCCTGCAGTGAAAGGATATCTTTATTAATTCAAGTTCAGTCTGGCATATCCATTCTAGAACAACGCAAAAATGAGCAAGGATGAAAAGAAAAAGGATAAACGCAAAACCAAGTAAGCACAACTTAAATGTTTTAATTCCCACTTTCTTTCTTTGATCTCATGCTTTAATAGTTCAATGGTTAAAAAGAGAAACTATGACTCACCATTTCTGAGGGATGATTGTTTTTAGATTTTGAATATTTTCATACTTAATACAAAGAAAACCATTACCTGAACATTTTCTGTAAGTTTATAATTAAACTAACACCATATGAGAAAATCATTCAGTTTTGTTAAGCTAGTAAGGTTAGTGCTTCGACCAGAAATTTGAAAATGTAGCTTTTAATACAATCTCAATGTTTTTGAAACTGCTGCAATACATCTGTGTGTGCAGTATGAGAAAGTGTTATACATAGCAGCTAATATTCTTTATGTTTTTCAAGAATAAAATTGGGGGAACGTGAACAACACAGGCCCCATGAAAAAAGGTGACTAAATGCTTTTTCATATTTTTGACAAATTCATTGATATGCTAAATCCAACACAGTCTCATGCCTCATGTATTTTACACATGTATTTAAATTAGTGCAGTCATTTTATAACATGACACACAGTTAGCAGTAATCAGAGTGAGTTTCATTATGATCAGGGGCCAGTGCTGGTGTTAGTTATGCATCTCAGCTCAACAATATAAATACGCACAGCAGATTTATAATGTCCGTCCTACCACAAAATTAGTTTCTGATGGGAAATTAGACAGGCATTCCCCAAAGATGTGAAATTTTTGAAAAACAAACAAAAGCAAAAACTGAATTCTATTTGCATCTTAACAAATCAGGATGCTGATATGTATTTAAACTCCGAGAAAAAAAAAAGAAAAAAAATTATAGCTCCAAAGATGAGCTCCACTACACTCTAGAACAAGTCACAAGTATATATATATATATATATATATATATATATATATATATATATATATATATATATATGGACAGTTTACAATGATGACAGAGGCAGAAATATTTTACTGGGTCTTACCCAGCATTTAATTATTGTAGCTTCTTGCAACTCTTTAACTCACCATAATAAAATACATTTGAAAATGTTTCAGACCATTGCAGGATGATGGGTTCAGACCTGCAACCAACCAACATGTGAAATTGCCAGAGCGAACTATTGGAGGTGCATACAGGTAGGTGTCTGTAAAGCCTTAACACTCATAGAAACCACCATCTTCCCAGTACCAGATTTATATTTCAATTTTTCACCCCTATCCATTGTCCTCACCTAAAAATGTCTTACTGACATCTGCTGTCATTTAAAAGGAACTACAAGTTGAAGTTTAAAGATTATCTTTTCAACATAGCTTCAGCCTTTGTGGCCTATGTACATTTTTTTTTTATCTAGATTAATCTCACTATAATCTATCTGCCAGCCTATCAGCTACACTGATGGGCCAGTTGTTTGGGGCTATCCACTGAGTGAGGAGATTGGTTAGCTTGGCTGATAAAGCTGTGCTTACAGCTGAATCCATGTTAGCGCGTCACATTCAATGTGGTAATTTCCCAGTAGGCCTAAACAGATCGGAATACTGATTTGTTCTCACCCCCAGATATACATCAGCACCAGATATACATCTGCGCTAAAATATCAAGGTGAAAGTCATCATTAGTATAAGCCCAGTTCCCAACCCAAGTGTGAGAATAGATTAACGGTGATCTTTTTTTTTTATCGCCCATAAGAGCCTGTCATTAACATAGCGTGTTTATGCCGATAATGGCCCACCACTAATTATATATATATCCTGTTAAAGCCTCTGATATTAGCCCATTAATTACTTTGATATTCACCTACTTATATCTTTGCAAGACTGCTTGATGATCAGTGCCAACTGTGTAAGGTGTTGTAAGTGGGCAGGCATATTGCCATATTTGGAAATACATTTTTCAGAATACTTTTCCTGGTTTTGATCCACTGCGTTCTATAATTTTAAAACAATTTAGTTCAGTATGATTATAAAACGTTCACTAAGAATTACTACTTTTAAACCAGAGCAGATGCTCCAGTCAATTTTTAATAGATGTGTTAACTTCCAAATCTTTACAATTTTGTCTGTGAATTCTTTATGCCTTCGAAGTAAAAAGGTCTCTACTAAAATATTCATTATGATTTATTCATGATGCATTTTCTTTTGAAAGGTATCAAGAGATATCCGACATCAATGACTGTTTTCAGAAGACCAGGTAATATGTTTGTTTTTTAATAATTTTATAAGGTTAAATATTTCAATTGCATTTAAGGTTTTGAAGATTAAAGATAACTTTACAAAATATGCACACATTAGCGGCACATGAAATGTAAACCACATGTTTAATGGTCAGCTCTCAGGATTATTTAAATTATTTAGATTAATTCATTACTGTATTTCTTTTAGCAAAATATATGTTTATTTTTTATGCTGTGCTATTTTTTCCAAAAACAAACCAAGTTTGATTAATGCTATGGATTATGCTCTACAGGTCTGCATTAGAGGATGGATCTAATTCAGCAAGGTACACTTAATAATCTGATTTTTTTATGAAGAAAGATAAGCTTAGTTCCTTAATGAAAAAAACTACTTGTCTATCTTTTTCCACGGTCATTGTGTGATTTAATAGAGCAGATTCTAGTTCTTCATTTGTGAGGTCATGAGAATAAATACCTTTCTGCTTTCCAGGTCTGTACTTAAGAGAAACTGTGTTAATCAGTGTTGAATCAGGCAAGCTGTAGTTACTTAATCGAGAGGGGGTAGGATAAGGCCTCTCGTTAACATAAAAAACAGTGGCACTTTAAAGAGAAGTGGTCAGGAGAACCAGACCTCCTGCTCTGAATCCAGGTGGTGTTTGATCATTGGACTGCTGTGCATGTCATAGATTGCCCATATTGAGCACCATGTTTACTCCTAGGGACGTCCATCTGTGCACTTGGCACAAGGACATCTGTGGCTGGAGGTCAATTATTGACTTTGTTGTTGTATCTTCTTACCTTTTGCCATATGTCTTGGGCACTCGGGTGAAGAGAGGGCAACAGCTATTGACAAATGTCCAAGCTGGATAGGCTGGGATAAGCCTGAACCTCTGATGGAGCCCTCTGTCAGGGATGTATTCAACTCCAATCTCTGGTAGAACTTATCCATCCATTCTAACAAAGTTTTGGAACATAGAATTGGAGCAGTCCATGTTCTATGTCTCTATCGTTGATGTGAGTGCCCAAACCTGGCTTTGGAAGCAAGCAATAAGAGCTAAAGAAGGCATCCTATTGAGCTTGGTTGGCTTGTGGGATTCCTGAGGCAGCAGGGAGGTATCGTGAAGCCAAGCATGCAAAATCTTTGTCGTTTGAAAGGGTCATGGAGAAAAACTATTGGTCAGCCTAAAGTTAATTCTAGTAAACCATCCAGAGCTTTTGGAGGGGGAAGTAGTACTTTGATAACACTGTTTTTAGTGGAAGTGGAGAGGAGTGGAGAGCCTCTGACCTTGAAGGAGGACATCATTAAATCAGCATTAAACACTCAATGAAGGAGACAAAGTTTGGATGTATCCACACTTACAGCTATGTTGGAACAGTATTGTTATAGATATGGCAACCAGGATTTTTGTAAGAAGATTTTGTTTGAGTATTTTAACTGTGTTTGACATTTCTGAGAAAACCATTAACACGAATGTACCAGGGGGAAGAAAAAAAAACTCATGCATTTTCCAAACACTCTTTGAAGTTGTTGAAACTTTGCTTTTATTTAAAAAATATTTTAGAATTACAAAAACAATATAGAAAATTATTTACCGCTCATTTCTAACAGGTTTACAGTTATTTTTAAGTATATAAACAGAGGAAGCATCATCCTCTCATCTCCCTTTTCAGCTTTTTGGGTTGTTTCTCTGAAGTAGACCACTGTAACACTAGATGTCATCATTCTTCAGTTTTTCTAGACAAGACAAAACAGATATTTCAAGCTGTATAGCATTAATTTACTGTTAACTGTCTTCAATTATTTGCACTATACACACCTGCTCTCCTCAGTGTTTCAAGATGTTAACTTTAGAAGATTCTGCACTACCAACAGATCTCTCCTCACAGCAATGACCTATGCAGGCCTGAACTATATAAGTACAGGCCATTTATAATTTGACCCGGTATATCAATTATGACCTTATGAAGGGAGAGAGTTCAGAGGTATGCAACAAGAGGTATGTTGTCAGTGATGATTGCTGGTGGTCCTCTTTGGCCAGGATTCTCCTTCTTCTGCTCCATGCATTGTGTCTCCTATCCTTTTATAAATTTTGGAACCAGTGTTGTGTATTGCTTCTACTTTTAGCAAATGACCCATGGCCCTCACAACTTAATCTCTGAAATGCTATACCTCCCTGGAAAGTCCCAACGTAACCTAACTGCTGGCTATATGTAATCTGTGACATCCGCCTTTTGGTTACACAGACTTGAACAAATACTAAGTTGTCAAAGTTTAAATCATTACATGCATGTTACAGATATATCACATGTCCTTCAAGTTTGATTACATCTTTACAGTCTTAGTATATTATGAAAAATAAAATCACTTTATCCCCTTTACCTTCAGTAAAAAAACATTTTGATATCTTCTATCTTTACACAACAACAACAAAAGGTCAGGCAGTAATTAATTGTGTACTTTTGATTGATGTTCTTGGCAGTCTTCATATGAACAGAAAGATTGAACATGTTGCTCCAGTTGTTTTTTTGTTGTTGTTTTTTTTCTTTATTCCAGTTGGTTTTTACCAGTTTGGGGGTTCATATACTTCTCTGCTTCATGATCTTCTGATTTCTGAAAAAACTATTAGCTTCCCCTTTTTCTCCCTCTTACTGAGATGAAACATTCCTTCTTATTTTGCCAAAGTCAGTTTAGGTATTACATGTTAATATTTTATTCTTTATTTATAACGATTTTGCGGGGGGAAGGCTTACCTCTATGGAGCCATTTCATTCAAAATTAAATAAATAAATATATATTGTTATTGATAAATTGTCAATATATATTCCATTAATTTAATTAATTTCCCCATAAAAAGAAACAAAATAAAAATCGAATTTGATTTTATTTTATTTCAAGATCTTTTATTTATTCCAAGATTTATTGATTAGGTAATTTACTGATTAAATAATTAACTTATTTAATTCATAATGGGGTGCTATTTTGTGAATTTAATTTTTTTATTTTGTTTTTCATTTTAAGCTCCTTTTTTTCATGTTCTTATATTCATATAAAGGGCCAGAGCGCCAGGCGGCACTTGTTAGGACTGGCAGAGTGCATCTGCTTTTCAGAAACTGAGGTATTCCAGTCATGACCAATCAACTATACTATTGCCGGGCTCTGTTTGGTCAATTCAATTCAAATCAGTTTATTTATATGGCTTAATTTCAAAACACATGGCATCTCAAGGCACTTTAAAGAGACAATTTAATCATACAGTCAGATTGGTTCAAAGTTTTCTATCTAAGGAAAACCAGCTGATTGCATATACTTATTGATTCGACAGCAATCCCTCACACTAAGTATGCTTGTAGCGACAGTGGAGAGGAAAAACTCAGTTTTAACAGGAAGAAACCTCCATCAGAAACAGGCTCAGTGTGAGCAGCCATTTGCCCAGGGTAACAGGGGTTCAAAGAGATAGAAGCAGAGATAAAAAAAAAAGAAGTAGAGTATACAAAGAGCAGCTGTCAACCAGCTTCACAGGCAGCCCCGTCCAGGAAACACACAGCCAGGCAGACAAGCTCCCATATCAGAGGATGAAAGAGAGTACATACAGTTAGTCACAGTCAAAAAAAACAGGACTACACTAAACAACAGGCCAAGGTTCAACATCTGTAAACAAAGATGTTGATGCCAGCAACACTGCTGATATATCACTCCAGCATGGTGTCACAGCCAAACAGATACAGATCAGATGAGGCTACTATGAGCAAAAGCACAGAGGACATAACGTTAGAGATTGAACTAACGAACACTGCAGAATAGGAGAATAGATAGAATGATGAAAAGGGGCCCCTATGTCCTCCGGCAGTCTAAGCCTAAAGCAGCAAAAGCTGGTTTGCTTGGCCATTTAATGCTTTATATGTGAGAAGGAGGATTATAAATTTTATTCTGGAATTAACAGTAATCAAATGAAGAGAAGCCAGGATAGGAGAGATATGATCTCTCTTTTTTTTATTTGAATCAGAACTCTGGCTGCAGCATTTTGGGTCAGCTAAAGGCTTTTAACTACAGAACAAACTGAATTCTGTCATATGAATAAGATTGAAACCAGCCTGATGATGTTCATTTGATTCCTATAAAATATTTAAGTATTTCTAAAAGAATATTATGGTCAACTGTATCAAATGCAGCACTGAGATCTAACAGGACTGAAACTCTTTAAAAAGTTAACTATAGTTTAAGTGGCCTGCAATTTTTTTTGGCAACTACTTTCTCAAGAATTTTAGATAAGAAAGGAAGATTGGATATAGGTCTATAATTGAACAAGTCATCTGGATCAAGAGTTGGTTTCTTAAGTAAATGTTTAATTACAGCAACCTTATAAGCCTTTGGTACATATCCCTGTAACAGAGATAGATTAATCACATCTAAAATGGAGGAGAAGATCAAAGGGAATACTTCCTTAAATAACCTGGTTGAAACTGGATCTAACATACAAGTTGAAGGCTTAGATGAAGACAATACTCAACTCAACTCGAACTTTATTTATAAAACACATCTAAAACAACTGGGGTTGACCAAAGTACTGTACAGCAGTTGCAGAGCATAAGATAAAAACTGAAAGCTAAAAAATGTAAACACAATGCAAAAAGAAAAATTGAATGGAGATTAAATATAATAGCAAAAAAAAAAAAAAAAAAACATTTTAAAATAAAATAAAATTTAGAATAAAAATTTGCCAGATGTCCACTTAGACTTTATTAAAAAGCCAGGGAGAAGAAGTGTGCTTTTAGAGAGGATTTATAAACCTCAAAGGAGCCTGCCGATCGAATATGCCAAGGCAAGTTATTCCAGAGTCTCGGGGTCGCTGCCATAAAGGCACGATCACCTTTGGTTTTAAGTCTGGTTTTAGGCATGAACAGTAGTAACTGACAGTGTTGGGCACGTTACTTTGAAAAAGTAATTAGTTATAGTTACTAGTTACTTCTCCCAAAAAGTAACTGAGTTACTAACTGAGTTACTCCACAATAAAAGTAACTAGTTACTAGTAAAAGTAACTATTGCGTTACTTTTGCGTTTCTCGCCCCCGTAACCCTCACCACCCAGCCCCCACCTTCTCGCCGTGCGTTTCCAAAGCCAGCTGAATTAGAGCGGACGACAAAAACAAGAACCTGCAGAGAGTTTAGCATTTATTGCAACTCAATGTAAATGACATCAGGGGGGAACGCGATGTGAAGTTTTTTAACAGGGCATTCAGATCTGGTGAAATTAATAACTGGGGATGTCTAATTCTGAAGTCCTGTGTGTTTGGGTTGTTATAGATACTGCAACATCTATCTATCCATCTATCTATCTAGATGTATACTCTGCGTGTGACATAAAATATGGATCTCCATGCCTGCCACAAAGGCCATCAAATAATGTTTAAAATAAAAAATACAGTAGGTTGAAAAGGCAGAGTATCCATCCATCCATCCATCCAGATTTCTCCCTTTCATTTGATCGTTCACGCTCTCCATAGTTCTCCTGTGGCGCGAGCACAGGGCGACTGTTGCGCGCCTTTAGCGAGCATGCGCGTTTGCTGTCGCTTGCGCGGTGACTCTTGCCGCCTGCGCTGTGCGGAGATGCAGAGGAAACCGTATGTGATGGGGAAACGCAGCTCGACGTAACACCGGTATTTCCATCAGGAAATGCTGTTTTGCTGCTGGAGTCATCCTCACTCTCCATCTCTCTGTGTGTGCTGTACGTTAACACCCGCCAGCGGAAACCCCCACCTACCAACTGACAGACGGAATCTCACTATACATCAGCCATTCTCATCCTCCCCTGTCTCATGACAAAGCGCGCACCTCTGGATGACCTAAAAAATAATCTTTAATATCTCTTAAACAAAAGTAGCACAAACAGTATTTTTTCTGCACAAATCTGCACTAACGTTGCACTAACCATTCAGTCTATTTGCAGAGTTTTTTGACGTGGGTGGGGTGTCAGCTTCACGCAGCTGCGCACGAGTCCTATCATGAAAAAAGGTTCATTGTGCGACCTGAGTAACGCGCAGTAACGGAGTGTCTGCAATGGTAACTGCGTTATAGTTACAGTCAAAGTAATTAGTTAGATTACTCGTTACTAAAACAAGGTACGCCGTTACTTTCAACGCCGTTAGTCCCATCACTGGTAACTGATTAGAGGATCTCAGTGTTCTGGCCGGTGCATGGAGTTGGAGGAGCTCAGTCAAATACTGGGGGGCTAGACCATTAAGAGCTTTAAAAACAAACAGTAAAATTTTAAAAGCTATTCTAAAAACAACCGGGAGCAAATGCAACGAGGCTAGAACGGGTTATATCTGGTCACGTTTACGTATCCCAGTAAGGAGATGGGCAGCTGCATTTCGTACAAACTGCAGATGATGTAAAAGTGAGAGGTCCATGCCAGCATATAAAGAATTACAGTAATCCAATCTTGTATTCATAAAATCATGGATTATAGGTCTTCAGAACTCTTTGTGGCAGGTACCCTTTCACTTTTGATAAAATTCTTAACTGGTAAAAGCTGTTTTGCTAAATGTGAAAGTTCAACTGGATCAAAGTAAATTAAATCCAGTTCAGAATCTATGGTTACCTAAGATGCTGCTTCACCTTCCAGAGATAAACCAGGTTCTGGGGGAGTTTTGCAACTGTATTTAGAAACTATCTAGGATTATTCTTATTCTACTCTATCAATGAGGAAAAATATGCTGCTCTTGCTTTATAAAGGGTCATCTTATACAGCAGTAAAGTATTTTTCCAGACCAGGTAGGATTCCCGTAGGTATGTAGAGCACCATTTTCCCCCCCGGTTCCTAGCATTTTGCTTCAGAGTCCGCAGCTCTGCATAAACCAGGGAGACAGTTTTCTAATTTTAAAGTTTTTCTTTTTCAAAGGGGCTACATTGTCTAAGGCAGTATGCTGAGAACTTGCAACCCCATCAACAAAACCACCAACCTGTTAAGGGAAATAAACTAAACTTTTGCACTCTGCAGCACTGCTCAGCGACACAGAGAAGAGAGAAAGTGAAACTGATTATTTAAAATGTATAACTGCATTATCCGATAATGATCTCTAAAGTGAAACGTTTTGGAGCAGGGGAACTATTTTAAAGTAATCCTGGGGGTTATTACAAAGTGGTGAGAGATAACAGGGTTGTGAGGAAATGCTGTTGTTTCTTCACATTCAATGCCATATGTGAACACAAGGTTCCAAGTATGAAGATGAGAATGTTTGGGACTAATCACATTTTGAACAATGCCAATCGCTTCTAAGCTAGCATTAAAGGCTGCACTAACCCCTTGCTCACACTGGCTCCGGTGCGGTTACCGAGCCGACGGAGACCGCAACTCCCGCACACCCCCTCTCACACCGTCCTTTTGACTACGGTGCGGTGCGGCTCTGCGGCTCCGGCAACAGGTCCGGAGATTTAACAGAAGTTCACTTGAGTTCACGTAACTTCACGCGATAACACGGCCCAAATAAGGATATTTGCGAGAGCTTGTTGCGGAGGGCTCCGGCATGCCGCAAGGATAGCTTTCTTGCGGAATTTTCTGCAGCGCCGGAGTGTCTCGGTATCCGCAGCCGGACAGCTCAGCAGCCGGTGAGAGAGGTTTACGTCTTTTTAATGACTTGGAATCACTGCGGCGCCGCACCCACCGCACCGCAACGGTAAGACCGGAGTCAGTGTGAGCCGGGGGTGTGCGGGAGTTGCGGTCTCCGTCGGCTCGGTAACCGCACCGGAGCCAGTGTGAGCAAGGGGTTAAGGTATCACCTTGAATATCCGCATGGATATTAAAATCCCTATCTATGATGACCCTGTAAGTTTTCAAAACCAAATTGCATAGGAACAATAAAAACGTATCTAAAAATTCAGAGTGAGGAACTGGTGGATGATACAAAACGAAGAAGTTTTGTTGCTTTGCAATTTCGATGAGGGAAACTAAAAGATTGTTGCTACTCCTCCTCCTCGATCAGAATTTCTGGGGATGTGAAAATTTAAATGACGATGGAGTTTCCTCATTTATGCTCACATACTGTAATCCTCTTGCTTCAGCCAAGTTTCTGTAAGGCAACATAAATCAATTTCCTTATCACAAATTAAGTCCTTAACTAACAGACTTTTTGAAGAAGGAGAGCTCTATGTTAGATAAACCACATTAAATAGTTTTTCATTTTTCATCGATTGGAGTTATTTTGATTTTAATTAGATTATCAAGAGTTTCTGCTTTAAGATTATTTTCAAATTTATTTGATTTGGTCATGGGCAAGACACTGTGGTTAACAGTAGAGAACCTGCAGACAGGTGTGTTAAGCTATGACTCTGCTTCCTGGTCTGCACCCTGTGTTGTCAGGGTTTTGATAAATTTGGCCAGATTCCTCCAAAGAAGAGCTGCACCATCCAAATTACTAATTTATTACTATTTGTCGATGAAAATTACATGGTTTAGCAGTAGGTTGATATTTTCATCTGTGTTAAACCACATTTATGGGTCTAAAAATCTAAAAGTCTAAAATAACTTGTTAGCTGCCTCAATGTGGATATAACACATGATTTTTTTTTTAAACTTACCTGTCTGATGTCATTGTTAGGCTAGATATAGTTTTGGAGTTGGGGAAAGCCAGCTCCACAAATAGGGCACTCCTTTTCTTGTAAGCTAAGAGTCCTTAGGTGTTTAGCTATACTGTATGTGTCAGGCAGCCTCCTTTACATTGCAAGGGTCAATTATAAGTGTTCAAAAAGCTGACTAGTATTTTATTTTTGGTAAATTTTAGCCACATGTTTAACTGGTGTTGCAAACTATCCATGGTTGCAAACAGACTTTCTGTAGATGCTTCTTTGCTGGTATTGAGAAGCTTTGTTTTCTAGTTGGAGGAAAAGGTATGGCAATGAGGAATCAAAAAATATTTTTCTTGTACCCGTTTTACCTTTAAATATTCATAAATGTAGTTTAAGGCAGAGTCTTTACCTGGAGAATTGAATATCATAAGGAGTCAAATTTCCAAGAAACACAATCTTAGATTTTTATAAATAATTAAACAAAGTGGCCACTGTTCTATGGAGAGTTGAACAAAATTAAATAAATAAATATATCGCTAAAATATTAAATGCGATTTTACCAAGAAATAAATACGTCAATTTAAATGTATGATCTGGTGAACTCTAAAGTGCCGTGAGATGAGATGTGTTGTGAATTGGCGCTATATCAATAAACTGAATTAAATTGAAATAAAATAGATAAACTATAAAATGGTCTCTTAAGTAAGAAAATGTGCCATGAAATGATTAAATATACCTTTTATATGATGACATTAAATAATAAAAGACATGTTTTAATGAAATATTTACTAAATAATTGTTACAATTATTTGAATGTGTATTTAGGTATTAATTTTATGTCAGTGCTTCTGTGCAGCAGACTCATGGACAGTCAACTTGACCCTTTACATAGTAGGTGGAGTTTTGCACCTCCTGTATAATACCTAATGTCTGATGGCTGCTTAAAACTGCAGGACAATTCTTCCTCCAGGATTGCTACGACTTTCAAGTCAATATTTTCTGTAGGAACTGCTGAAAATATCTGATTTGTTGTAATTTATTTGTCACAAACTTTAAGTCAGATGTGCTTCATACCTCATTTCTGATTCCATAAAAACTCAAATATGTAGATTTTTTAAAATCAGACAATTTTGTATCAAGTCAATCTGTTAACATAATTTCCTATTATGGGCTTTTTGTTCTTTTTCTTCAGCAAAAGTGCCATCATTCAATCTTCTTCCCATAAGCCTTCAATGTTGTACTTCCTCATCTGCGGCACAAAAAAAATGAGTCCAACTGACAACTACAGTTACAGGTTAAGTATACCTGCATATTCTAGATTTTTTCATACACACATGGATATAATTGTTAGTATCACTTGGTCAATGAAAGAAAAACTCAAAATGGCTACAGAAATAGCTTAAATCTGTCAAAGTAAGAAAAGTACAAATTCTCTTGATTTTTAAAACCATGCTTCAACAGAATTATTAAAAGAAAACAGACTCATGAAACTGGCCTGCACAAAACTGACGGTACCCCAAGAAATGACTGAACATACTGTGATCAAAGGGACATGTTTTATCAAGGTGGCTCCACTAATTAGCATCACAGGTGACAGCAATCTTGTAATAAGTCAGTGGGCCTTAGGAGTGAAACAGTTCACAAAATCCACGGTTTGGTTCGGTTCACGGTTTCGTGGTCACGGATTTCGGTTCGGTTCGGTATATGTTGATTGTTACCCCGAAATCCCATAAAAATGTATGAAATTAATAAAAAATCCAAAAAAAATTAATGAATTGTAATTATTTTTAATGATCCGCGGAAACCCTGGATCATTTCCGCATGTTTTGCTGCTTTGAATTTAATCATCTCGCGCATGACCACTACCATCTCCAAGGGACTCAGAGGGGAGCGGACGGGAGCCACAGTGGAGGCTGTAGGCTTTGCTTTGAGCAGCCTGTCTGGAGCGCAGCGGGGGTTGCTGACAGAGTATGAGGGATTTCGGGGTTAGCATGACATGTTGGTCATGTTGCTGTTAGCATAAACAAAACGCTGTTGCACAATGCTTGCACACTGTTGCACTTTTAGCCACAACTTTCTTTTCGCCGTTATTGTAGGTCACTCTAAATGCAAAGTGGTCCCATACAGCAGACCTATAAAGTGCTGCTGGCGCATCTTCCAACTCTTGTTCTTTCCCACTCGCCATACCCACACAATTCTCCACAACAACTGATTTTTTTCTGCAGCACCCGGCTACGCGGCTTTGCTTCTTTTTCTTCTTCTAGTTTACTACTGGTGGTTGGCTTTGGTCGCAGTACCGCCACCTTCTGCACTGGAGTGTACACGCTTCGCCTATGAGAAAAAGGAGCAGCGCATGAACTGAACGCAACACACGTGAATCGAACCGAGACAGTCGAACCGAACGGTTCGGACGGTTTTCATAAATCGTTCCATCCCTAGTGGGCCAATATACAGGAGTACAGGTAGTCCCTGTGCTGTTTGGTGACATGGTGTGTACTACACTCACCATGCATCAAAAGAAGCAAAGGAAAGAGTTGACTCAGGAATTACAAAAAATTATAGACAAGCATATTAAGATCATCACTGACCAGCTTGATGTTTCTGTGACAACAGTGGCACATTTTAAAATTAATGATAAATTTAAAGAGATGGATAAATTGCCTCACAAGTCACAAAAGAGCCCAGAAAAACTTCTTAAGAGATTAAAGGTGAATTTAAATTCGAGGAACATTAGTTTCAGATCCATCCATAAGTCAAAGTAGACTATCAATTTAATTTTTTTATTTATTTAGCACCAATTCAAAAAGCATGTCATCTGAAGGTACTTTACAAATTAATAAGAGCATACAGTCAGATTTGTAACAAGTTTCTAAATAAACCAGCTGATTGAATCAAGTCATTGAATTTCAGCACACACTCCTCCTGAATGAATATGAGGTTGCAGAGGACCTCAACCCATATTTTGTCGCGGACCTTACAGCAGTCCCTTAAATAATGCCTCTACCAGAGGTGTCTGGTGTTTTTTTATCAGGTGTCCCTTTGACCTGCTTCTCCTTACTGCCCCGAGAACTCTGATGACATTGGGTACTACTGTTGCCCTCACCTGTTAGGCTGTTTCTAGTTCTAACCCTAAGCGCTTGGTATTTCTCCAGTTTCTTATGTTTCTTGTTCCCAGTGTTTCCATAATATACAGCTGTCCTCTGCTGTGTACCAATGTCACAAAATTGGCTGGGCACCACCATTTTGTCTGTTTCTATCTAGAAGTCCCACAGGACCCTAGCTCTTCAATTATCCTCCACCTTGGGAGGTGGTTCCCATTCTGACCTGGGGTCCGTTTCATGAGACAGGTTTACTGAAAACTTTGAAGTTGTCTAAACCTGAAAACAGGGAAACTCTGACTTTTCCGTTTCACAGAGAAAGTTTCCTAAACCTCTGTTTCAGTCACCAAAGTAACATTCTCCCAAGAGCTAACCTGATCGGTAGCAGGTTTTTTTTAGTAAACTTGGAGTGACCACTGTCTCCGCTCTCCTTACAGCCAATCACGTTATTTTATTTCCTGATTTAGTCCAATTTTTGTCGTAGTTGTGTGCATAAGAATTATATAGTGGGACGCATGAGATAATCCACAGGTTCCATTTATTAGAACGTTTTTATTCTTCATCCTCACCTGCTGCCAGAAGATTTTACCTAAATAGATACATTGATCTACTACCATTCAAGAAATAATCCTGTAATATTTTCACGGTAACAACAACCATGGCAAGCAGTTTTGATATGTACTAGTTTTACTGAATATGTATTCCTGATATCTGGAAAAAAAAAAAAAATTTCTCTTTGTCTAAATGACCATTTCAAACAAAAGGACATTCTCCACCTCTAGAAATTAATTTCAGATATCCATATTCCTAATATTATTGGTCAGTATTTGTAATATTGTAACTATGAAAAAATGTTTTTCAGATATCATAAATAAATTTTCAATCAAGCTGATAAATGTCAGAATGGCTACTTGAAATGTGTAAACATTTCTAGATATATAAAACTCAATTCCTACTAGTATAACTTTGTTTGTTTTTTACTTTCTGAAATTCAGTTTCTGTAACAAAAAATGTAATTTAGAAATTTTGAAATTATATATTATTACAGTTTGGTGGAGGAGTGTGTTTTTAATCAGGACGAATCTTATTTTAGTGATCCACAAATGGAACAATAGAGGAGTGCTTTTAATAAATGTAAAAACGGCCTGACAACCCACTTGATGTAAAATTACGCATTTACTAGAGCAACAACCTTCTCCTTCGCTATCTTCCTATCCTTTTTAGGTGTAGTACTGCTTCTCTGTCTTTAAAACACATTCTCTTTATATATATATATATTATTTTTTGGGGGGGTTTTTTGCATTTCCACATTAATCTCTTGTTCCAGTAGGGTTAAATGGGAACTTCCTGTTGCCTGTTGTAATGGTGAATCGGTGCTCCACTGATAATGGCTTTTCATACTGAGTGGACATAGTTAAAATTGATTGAACTAACTTATAGCAGCTATTGTGAAACTGAACAGTCAGACGTCCCGACTTTTGGCTACATCAATTTAGAGTTGCGGATTTTAATCTGAATTTGTTGCACCTGCTTCATGAAATGGACCCCTAGGGGGTTCCAGTTTGTATTATGCACAGTTGTTTCTGTACACTATATCAGCCACTTGGTTAGACCTTACATGTATTCCTTCCATACCACTATCTAACACCCTGCTGTAAGATAGTGGATTTTTTCTGGGGCCTCTTTGCATAGCCTGTACCAGGGATCTAGCCTGGTATGGTAGATGACCTCTATTGCTCTGGTGCTCAAGGTCTGCTCCTGCGCTGCCATGATCAGTGCTTCTGTGCTGTCTTATAATGACCCTCTCTAGCCATTAGTTGCATTTGCACATGGAGGGTTGTTCATTTCTGTAAACCTTCTATTTTATATGTAAGCAAACCTACAACCATTACTGATCAATAATTTGATTAACCTCTCATTCACTCCTCAAACTTAAAAATTTTGGCTCTCATATGGGAAATCTGATTTTTTTTTTTTACAGGGGAAAAATATAAGCAGCCACTGTATTTGTCATTTGTTCTTCTTTTTTTACTGACATTTCTGTGATGTTTTCTTTTTAAGAACTGCGGATGTGAAAATTGATCCTGTAAAGCTACTGGAAAAATTAGGGTAACACTTTACCTTTTTAAAATTGTTAAACAATAAGTAAACTCAATTTGAACTATACTGTATGTTATTATTCTACATTAATCGACCACTAATGATTTTTCATCTCTCTGAGGCCAGAATTTATGATTCAACATCTGGATTCCTTCTATGTATAGTTTGTTTATATCTCCAATTTTTTCTTTATAGCTCTCTTCAGGGAACCAGGGGAAAAGTTCTGGTCAAACTAGGCTCAGGGTATCAACCTGACAGGTAATATGCAAAAAAAATGATACCTAATAATCTTAAAAACTAAAGCATATTTCATATTACTTTTTGAATAAGTTCTCTAACATTTTGTTTTCCCAACAATAATAACTACTGTTACGCCATTTGATTTTAGTTTACTCAAGATGAAATACCTTGCTCTGAAACTAAGAGATTGATATATAGATTAACCTAAAATCACCAGAGATCCAAAGTAGCTAATCGTACACCCATTTATCTATTTACTCTTGTCATGGACTTGTCAAAGTATTTAGAATAAGGTTGTCTTGGTAAAAGATTTTCTTACATTGAGGGATGTTCCTTTTTTCTCAGTTTCTAATAATAGTATTTTCTGATTTAATCCTCTCCACTGTCGCTACAAGCATGCTTAGTGTGACGGATTGCATTTCTGTCAATGAGTCGATGCAATGGACTGGTTTCCCTTAGGTAGAAAACTTTGATTGAATTTGACTGGATGATCTGGTGAACTGTAAAGTTCCTTGAGATGACATGTGTTGTAAATTGGCGCTATATAAATTAACTGAATTGAAATTGACATAACATTCATGCTCTATTTTTTAGTATAAAAGAATTTTTGGACGTGGACAACCAGTGTCAGGATATAAGGTAAAAAATCTTGCTTGCATTATTTTATTAACACCTGACACATACGACACAAGGTGTTTAAAAAAGTATATCTTTCTTGTATGACATTGTTGATAAAGTGTAATAGAGGCAGTTTGACATATAGTATTTTTTTTACAGAATGTCCTTGACTGAAATGATAAGGTAACTGCATGGCTTTAATAAGCTTTAATCAATGGTATCGATTAGTTAAATTTACTTAAACAAAATAAATAAACTGCACGCAACTACTGTATTTCCATATGATAAATCATCATATGTTACAGAAGCCGATGCTTTTAAATTTTCTTTCATGATTAACTAAATAACAAAAATATTTATTTAATTCCATGAATTTCGCTTTAAAGGTCGGCTTTAGACAATGGGGAGGATGCGCTGAGAAAACTTCACGAAAGGTAACATACATGCAGAAATAGGAAACACATATTATACCTATAGGGTGGAGATATATAATAGCTATGTATATCATGGCTAAGCTATATAATAGCTATATAATAGCTTAGCAGTTTTTTCAAAATGATCAAATCTTTTTCAATCTATTCGAGAACTTTAAACTCAAAAATTTTCTACAGACTAAACAACTGATTTTCATTCATCAGTGACTGAAGTTAAGTCGTGAATCTATTTTTATGCCATCTATGGTTAACAAAATAACATCTAAGAAACTGGTCTTACATTTTAGTTGTAGAAAATATAAGTTTGTCAGGGAAAAGTAAATATTTGCAGAGAAAGTATGTAATGCAGTCATATTTGTTCTTGAAGCAAATCCTATCCAGTTAATTTGGTTACATGTGTTTCTGTTTTATGTTTATAGGCACTAATAAATAATTGCTTGGTTCATCCTCTAAACTTTTCATTTTTGTTACCATGGAACTTTATCCTCTCTATGCCTAAATCTTTCAGAATGACCCACAAAACACACATTTTACACAGCCTAAAAAACTATTAAAAGCTTAAACACAAGTTTGAAATGCCTAAAGCCTTGTTTTGGGTCTTTTGCTTCCAGTGTTTAAATAAATACATTTCTGTTCATTTCTTGAAATGAATGTTATTATGGGCTATTTCTAAATCAATATTTCCTTGTTTTTACAGGATAATAAACACAGAAGAAGAATTTAAAAAGGAACGGTGTGTGTCTTTTTATGCTTTCAATCACTCAGAGACATAATTTCTACAAAAAATAGAATTAATAAATAAAATTAAAGTACAAATGACTAACACATATGCATGATATCTATTGCTTTATCAGATGTTATCTATATGAGTAACATAGAGAAGAAAAAGTTTAATAAATTAACATAGTGTATGTTTTTTTAACAGATCTTCTTTAACTGAAAGGATTGAAGAACTAACTTTGTTTAAAGACAGGTACTGTACATTGGTAAATTGTAGTTTATGAATTTAGCATCACTTTAAACTATTAATAAATATTGTTTTAGGTACTTGGCTTTAAGGATTGTTGTCCATCTTATGTGCAGAGTTGCAGGAGATGTTGCTTCTTCAATCAAAACAGGAACAACCGTCAACCTTAACAATCCAGTTAGTAAACCAAGGCTAATTGAGCTATATGATGATCTGAGGCGCAGGTGGCCGAAAATAAAAAGTAATCTAAAATCAAGACAGGAAAATCCGGACAGAACCAGAAAAGTGATACAGGTACAGTATACATTGATAATGTCAGATAACTTTAGTGGTTAATTAGTAATTCTTAAAAAACGTTCTTTCTGATCTAATATTCTGTTTTTGATTTTTCTTTGTTTGTATGTAATTTACGTACATGACACCAGACACAATTTAAAAAAGCAAAAACTGATATGTTAGAAAAGAAGTGGAAAATAGATGATATTTTTGGACTGAATAAGACCAAAACTGAGGCACCAGCTTCAAAGGTACTTGAAAAAAAAAACGAATACTCAAACTTAGTAATCTGTGTTGTTGCTAATTCAATTGCTAACACTTGTTCCAGGTTAGGGAGTGCAGAAAGTTAACCATTCAGAATCTGCAAATGGCCATCTACAGTGACAAACAGTGGGGTTTAAAGGTTTGTTTGATAAATCATATTCCTGTAGACAATGAAAAAACTGTTATATCATTAGTGAATGTAAAGTTGTACTTTTTTTTTCCATGAATGTGATTTTGGAAAGTGATTTTAATTCTCTTCCATAGGATCCAACACAAGTAACAATGCTTGAAACACTGAAGGATGTGATAAATGATTTGGAAACTGAGTGCTACAGGCTGGGCTGCCTGATGGCTCTGAATGATCCTCCTCTTGAACCTGACTGGAATGATCCCCCCGAAACATATGACAAGTGGGACATTCTCCCTAAAAATATCACAGAGTCTGTAAAGAACCAAGAAAAGATTGCATCCGTTTATTTGTGAAAGTACTGAATTGTCACATTAATGTCAGAATGAATAGGTTAATTGCTTAGATTCTTTACTCTCCTTTGTGTAAAATGATAGATTATTTGGCAGCTTCGTTGAGCTTTTTGGTAAATTTCAACTTAAAAATAGAAAATATTCATTATTGCCTGTACTATGTGTTAGTTTCCTTTTGGTTGTTTCTTAATTTCTGTACTTTCTGATCATATCTGTCAGCCTAATGCTGTTATAATGCTGTAGTCAAATGTTACCAGCTACTAGTTTTACTCTGTAAGACACGTACTACTTAGACTAGATTTACACTTTTGATAACGCTTATACTTAAAGTAGCTCAGCTTATCCTAATCAATCTCTGTAGTTATGTGGCCATAGGGTTAGGCTGCTTGAGGACATAGGAACCACGTTTCATCATTTAACTTTATCCTACATCTATTTTCTAATTTTATGTTAGTTTAACTTCAGGTTTTATTGTATTATCTCTGATTTTTCTCATCATGGTAGCTTCATCTGGCCTTGAGTTCTTTAGCCGTGACACCATTCTGGAGGGAAGCATTAGCTGTGTTACTGCAGTCAGCAACTTCCCTCATAGATGATGTAGTTGGGGCTGTTTCTGAGTGCTTTGTTCGGTGCTCTCTTTCATCTCTTTTGACATGAAAACTGGCTTTACTGTTTCTTTACTGTTTCTTTCCTAAACACAGGCACAGATGGAGATAGTCTTACCCTTTCTAACATAGAAATATATATTTATACATCAGTATTTCTACGTTCCTTTTGGGTGACTGCTACTGTCTTCTTAAAAACCATCTTAACATCTGAAGAGAGCTGCTTACACTGAGCCTGGTTCTCCTGGAGGTTTCCTTCTGTTTAGGTTGATTTTAAGCTCTCCACTGGTGCTGCATGCATGTTCAGTGTGAGGGAATACCGCACACTCAACAACACAATGCAACAAGCACCACATGCTGGGTTTCCTTAGACAGAAAACTTTTAACCAATGAGTATGTATGATTTGATTGAACTTTTTCTGTAAAGTGCCTTTAGTTGACAAATGTATAGGATCTATAGCATATAAATAAACTGGATTTAATTCAATTAAAACTAAGGATTATGTATTAAAAAAAAATGTGTTGCTATTAATGGGCTTTTCTAATAAATAAATCTGGGCATGTGGAATTTTAGAGATTTGAAAAATTTACCTGTTTATACTAAAATAAGACACTTGCTGTTGTCAGATTTCTGAGAGAAGCTAAAAACGATCTATTACAAGTGAAATTATTGACTAACAAGTTTTTCTCATTTTTTAACCTATTTGATTTATACTATCGGCAAGACACTGTGGTGCTGCTAATGGCTTCCTAATGCCAAGACCTACCACATAGAATGTGGCGGTTGGCAGCCAAGATTGGATTGGAAAAAGTGGGATGGATGCCATCTCTCAAAAACAGACCTGCTTTTTCCTGAAAGGTTTGCCAATGGGCCCTATGCATAACTCCACTACTTCCTAAACTTAAGGCAGCTTTTTTGTTTCTTGTCTTTTTCTTCTGGATAAACTGTTTTATCTAGGTGTGCCTGACCTGAGTAGACCTACATTCAGAGAAATTTTATTGTCATCTGTATACAGAGAGTATACAAAAACGAAATTTCATTTGGTACAGATCTCATGACATTTCCATTTCTTAAAGTGCAGCAGTGAGCAAATGTAAACTTCGGGAGAGAAAACATGGTGCAAGAAATGCTTGATATGGTCATTTTGATGCAGAGACTGTGACATGATTTAGAGTTTTTCAACATTCAGCTTAATCACTTCCTCAAGTAGAAACGAAAGGAAATAAAAGACTTAAAACGACTTTATTGTAATTTTGTAGACATAGAGTGTAGTCAAAAAGAAACTTTGTGCAGTACAGCTCTAAAGACATTTTCATTTTTAAAGTGCAGCAGTGATAAAATGTAAACATAAGACGGAAATGTGATTTACAGTTTCCAACACTGAGCTTCTTTTTTTTGTAATAAAACTCCATTTTACACAACATTCAGCATCCTAATGTCAGTGGGGAAGAAACTGTTCTGGAATCTGCTGAAACCTGCATTGGATGATTCAAAGTCTCTTCCCAGGAGGGAGAACAGTCCATGGTGGGGGTGTGAGGGGTCATTTATAACGTTACGGGCTCGGGACATGCAGCAATGAGATGAAATGTCTTTAATGGAGGGAAGAGGAGCCCGATGATCCTCTCTGCTGTTCTCGCCACCCTCCTCACCTTCTTCCAGGCTGAGGCGCTGCAGCCTCCACACCACACAGTGAGACAGCTGGTCAGAGGCCGTAGTAGCAACTAATGACAATTAGTTGGCTCAATACAGCCACACGAAGAAAAAAAAGCACGTGAAATACGAAGAGCTACCAAAAGAAAAGTGCAGCAAAAGAAAATGCGTTTAAGTGTGGTTATATATAGTTAGAGCAGATGGGTCACAATGGAGATGTGGGATCAAATAGACGGTGTCAGAAAGACCCTACAGATCATCAAATCCAGCAGAGGAAAATGGAAAGTGGTGCAAGTTGCCTTATCTTGTCCACACGGAACGTTCATATATTAGTTATTTTACCACCTTTCTGTAAGTCTGCCGAGATAGTAAATTATACTTTTATTTCCAATCTAAAATATGCTGAAGTTCAAGGTTTTCTAATGAAAAAAAATGTAAACACATTTTGTGGCAGAGTCAATACTTTTCCAAAGACTTTGTTTCATGAAACCAATAGAACCAAGTTTATTTCCATATTTGATCATTGCGATTGTGACAGTGTGCTTAAGTTAATGTTACCTGATGAGTATAATTTTATCTATTACAATATTAATTACCATTTCCAAGAAATGGAAAATAGTATCAATATCAGTTTAGATTTATTTATTAACTTTGAAAACTATTGTAGGGATAAGATAATTAGTAATTGTATGGAGGAAACATGCTGCTTAGAGATTTTTTTAAAATTCAATAGATTTGGTAGTATTAAATCTACATTCATGTCATTAAAGCTGATCAAATTGACTTCCTTTGTTATTTAGCTGTAGATGTTATCCTCGTCCAGAAGATGGCACCATTTCCCAATTTTTTGGCAGTATCTATTTTTCCTCACATATCATTCTCACAAACACAAAAACAGACCGAGCTGTTGCTGATAGAACATAGTTCAAAGAAAGATATGGAGGCTTACATATTAAAAGAGCACAATATAGTGTGGTGATAAAAAAACATAGGACAATTACAATACAAACTTAAATAGAGGTTAGACTTAATTGTGATAAATGAAGAGCTTCTAAGTTTTATTTTGGTTTAAATTATTATTATCCTGCTCTGTAGTACAATCCACCTTTATATACATTCCTGAGCTGAACACATTCCAGACCAGCTGATGGAGGGATAGATGAAGACGAATATTAGTGTTGATGCACAGGAGCTAATATCACAAATGGTCCTGATCACAGTAGTGGGGCTTTCATTGGATGGATAAAACCTAACTGATCAGAACACTTTTTTTCTGGAATGAGGACATTGCCGTGATGCAATTGTTACCCTAAAAAACATTTGAGCTTTGATTACATGAAGAACAATTACTGTATTCAGTCTAACACTGAAGAGCAGGAAAGATGTTTTCAGTCTGGACCTAGGCTGCATAACCCATTTAGATCATTTGCATGACCTAATCATTGCACGCAGGTTGGCTAAAAAGAGCTGATCACCTCCAATGGCTTTAAAAGCTTCCCCCATCATCTCTTTTGGGACTTCCTTACCTACAGTACTATTGTAGGAAGAATAAGCTACAAACAAGCATTACTGTTTGAGTAAAACCATGCACTCTGTATTGCTTGTTGCCTTAGAATCATGAAGGTTATTTTATCACTGGGTTTTGAACATTTACTGTCAAATGTTTGTGTCTACTCCTTACTTGTGAAGACTAAAGCATTTTAAGCTTTCAGGTTCCACGCTAGAGCTGTTGTATTTGAAATCCCACAGCTCCATCTTAGAGCACATCACAGGCCCATAAAGAGTCAGCCTTCTGTCACCTAAATAATCTCCAGGGTTAAATGACTAATTTCTTAACATAATCTTAAAAACTCATCCATATATTTATCTTAAGTAGAATTGATTTCTGCTATGATGTTTTCACAGGTCTGACTTTTCTTGTGTGTACATTTAAATCATTTGAAGTGATTTTTTTTTTTCTTCTTTTAACATTACGATTTACCTTTGTGGTGTTACTTGTCCACAGATACTTTAGATTTTCCTGTAAATCAGAAAACTTTTACCCTTTCGATTTTTTAAAGTGAGAGGTTTTAAATAGGTTAGTCACTCAGTGCCATTTCCTTGTTTCCCAACAGACTGTCTGTGGCACTTCTCCTGTCATTTAGTTCCTGACATCAAAACCTTTCCTTTTCCCTGCTGCATCTTGGCCTCGGGATTTAGGGACAGGGTTTACTTTATCAATTTGGCCCCTGGGATGTGGCATTGTTTGTACTTATTATCTCGACAGAAAGGCTGTCCCAATTAGAGAGCCTGTGTCACCACACCAGTGTTATCATGTGAAGGAAGACTGTCTACTCTATACTCTACTTAATAGATAAGTAATAAACAGGCACATATATAACAAATAAAAGAACAATCCTAACAATCCATCCACATACACAACAAAAAGTAGAAGAGATGCCAAACAACCATCCCAGGAGTTTCTGAAACTATAGTGGAAATGAAACTGTTAGAACTTTGGTCCGGCAGCCAAGATAATCTTAGAGAGAAGAAGATTTCTCCTTTAAATTGACCAAATAATCAATCATTCGTTCATCCTGAATCGGCTAGTTCTCAGAGGAGCTGATCACAAAGTTCAAAGAGTTATTCAGGTCCTCCATGGCTGCATCCATCCTCTCCTTTTGGACTTTAAGAGACTATCACCTGCAAACAAACCAACACAATAACCTGAGTAAAACATCCTTAGTTTTCAGCCTAATTTATTATGTAATTATACTTTGGGCCTTTATTTTTTTTGTATAATTAGATTTTTTTTTATATTCCGGATTAGAATTGTGTAAATAGTGAATGAAGACCTTTTAATGAATTCTTTATTGCAAAAATACTTTTAGCATTAAACCGGACATAAAGTGTGTTTAATCGGAACAAGCCTGCAGGGTCGTTAAGTTCACGTCAGTCATGTTTGTTCTGACAGATCAGATTTCTGATTCTGCTGCTTACTTTTCTTTACTGTTTTGTTATAATTATTTTAACACTCATCATGTCACAGTAGGAATATAGTTTTATTTTAATAATAATCAAATGTTTGCTTAAAGAACCTTTTACTGTGCTATCTAAACATAATTATTCATGTTTCGAACCTAACTTCCTTTCATTCTTTATCAATCATTTTATCTTTTTATGTTATCATGTTATCTTATTTATTTAATGTATTCACTGTAAATATTTGTTATGTTTTGAACCACTGCAATGTACTTTTTCATTTTCTTCTTTTTTAATAATCGTGCTACTGATATGTGCAATAGTGTCTTAATTTGATAAGTTTATACTGTGTTAATAAATGCAACAAAGGTGTCTTAAAGTAACCTTTTATCCAAACTCACTCCAGGAAAAATATCCTGAAATGCCTGGATTGTCTTTTGTGTGTTTGTTTTTTATTTAGAAAAAACTATGAGTTTGGATTTTTTTTTAAAGACACAAAACTAGACTAAACCTCATAAACTCTCTGCAGGAAGTGATGTGGGCCCCCATTCCTGTCTGCTCTATGTCGGCCACCTCCGTAGAAACCAGTTAATGCACTTCATGGGTTCTGCTAATTAAAAAAAATTTTTTCTTCAACAAATTTACAGAGGCTGTGTGTGCTTGAGTTGTTGTTTTTGCAGTTTGTCTCTGTGTTTGCATGTGATAGACTGGTGACCTGTCCAGGGTGAACCCCGCCTCTCACCCATTGGCAGCTGGAGATAGGCACCAGCGTAACCCTGCAGGGATAAGCATGATGGAAAATGGATGGATGGAAGTTGAACCATTAAAAAAAATGTTTAATTGTTTTTGTTTTTATTGTATAGTTTTCTGTACCAGAACATAAAAATACTTCCCACTGTTGCCTTCTTGTAAGAAGGTTTGTAATATTTGTTTCTTTTTTGTGACTGGTGGTTGGGTGTCAAATAAACACATTTTAAGGGCCATGTGTGGCTCTAATGTAACTCTTTAGACACCCCTGGGCCAAACAGTACAATGATGGTATATCAAAGTTGATTTTTTTCTTGATTAAATAAACTTAAAACAAATAAAAGAGAGATTTTTTCCCCCCCAGAATTGGACCCAAGAAAAAATGAAAGCAGACAAGAGTCCAAAGAATTCTGTAAAACTTGAAGCCAAGCTTCCTTAGAACGAAAAACAGAAAAATTATGAAAAACATAAAGGAATAACATCCTGAGATGCAGAGCTTTGCTTTGTGACAAAGATCCAGATATAAACATCTTCATCTCGTGATCATGGGAGTTGCATGAGGCCCCATGACACTTAAGTTTGATTGGTCTGCGCACAGACGCTATTTCTGTCATTTATTCTAAATGTTTCTCCAGTCTTGTAGTTATGTATTTGTCCAGCAGATGGCGGCAGTGTGCAGGGCAGCTGCAGAGCTGCGGCTCGGAGCGAAGCGAAGCGCCTGGACTCCTCCTGAGAGCCGCTGCGCTCATCCGGACTCCCTCCACTCTCCTCCCTGTCTGCCGCCGAGCTCCTCCGGCTGCAGACCGACCTGAAGGCGGCACAGAGACCCGTCCAGCAGCCTCAGGTTGTTTTCCTGGTTTTTAAACCTTCCTCACAGATTATCTGTAAATCTGGCACGATGCGGGCGCTTCATCCAGAATAACAAACCCAGAGGCAAGTTGGGACCGATTTTTGGATTTGAATGGTTTTGGATATCTTGTGAGGAACCTGTGGTGAAGCGGGTTGAGTCCACAGGGTTTTATCCCTGAACGACCTTGTGTTTTTCTTTCTGTGGACGCAGGATTTTCCGGGAATGGAGAGGAATGGGATTGCTTACACGCAGTGAAAAGTATGTAGACCTCCTCTGGATCATATTTACATGCAACATGTTTGTTTGTTGTTTTTATAGAGAGGCTGCTCTCAACTCATCTGTCTAATATTAAATTAAATTTCAGCTCATTAAATTGGTCAAATTCTAAGGTTTAGGTTGTGTTACCTACTAGAGGGACCCCCCCTCCCCATTTCCACTCCTAGGCACACATTCTGCATATAAATCATTGATGGCCTGCATGCTGTGTGGCTTCCAGCAGGATGCTCTCTGAATGAAGCACATGTATGGCCTGTAGTGGAGCTGTTACCATGAATCTGGGTGCAGAGGCTTGTTCTGTGGAACAGATGGGACACACAGGCTTACATCTCCACCAGTCCAGAGCTAAACACACACACAAACACACACATGGACTTGTGCCACGCCACACTATCTCAGGCTGATGGATTGAGTCATAAAACACTCCAGGGCAGAGGCTGAGGGGAGGCTGGTGACCCCTTCAGAGGTGAAGCCTTGACCTCCAGTCTGAGCTGCCAAAATAAAAACCTTGGCAGTACCATCCCTTCTGGGGGTTTTAGGCAGCTTCAGGAAAATAAAGCAGTGAATTCTTCCTATTTTCTCTTTGCAGTTCAAGAAATCACGATCGCCTCCCATCGCCAAAGGAGGACGGTCTGATCATCACAGCTTGGATCTCAGAGATGGATAACAGTGGATGACAAAAACCTAAAAACCAAAAGTTGACAGAGGAGCTCACCCTGCAGCAAGTCCATGAGACATCCTCCAGAGCATGGGGTGTGTCAAATCCAAGAGGAGCGATGCCTCCCAGCATGCCAACTCCACGGAGAAGAAGGCGCGAGGAGAGAAGGCCTATTTGGTGGGTTCATCGGAGCCGGCCTCGGTGGAGGGCTCCCCCCAGGTCAACCCGGTCCTACTGGAGTATGCTCAGAAACTGTCTGAGGAAATCGTAGCCCGGGCGGTGCAGCAGTGGGTGGAGGTGGACAGCCGCTACAGTGACATCCCCTACATTGAGTGTGACGTTCCATGATGGGAAGCAAATTCCACATGTGGATCACTTGGACACCCTCTGGACCTTTTTTTTCTTGAGTATGCAGAACAAAAGGAGATCATGGGTTTTTCTGTAGTGAGACTGAGTACGAGGGAATTCAGTTTTGACCTACTTTTGGATGGGATTATGCTTGGGATTGATCCTAAAACCCTCCTCCAAACTGACCAAAGCGTTCTGATCCCAGCTCTGTGATTATGGGAGCAGTAGTAGGTTTGTGCTCATCTTCCTCTGTCTATATCTGTCCATGAATGGACCTATGAACCCAGGAATACCGTCCGACACTCGATCCTCATCATCTCCTCTGTACCAGGCAGAGCAGGGACTTATTAATAGATCAGAAACACTCCCTACCATGGAATTCCTTATAGTCAAGGGGAGTAACTCCTTTTGGCCTAAAAGGAGATACTACAGTAACATCCTCAGCTCTGCTTCTCTCACTGCCAATACTTCGCCTTAATCACTGCCCTCCATCTAACAGGACCTCAGATTTCTGAAGTACAGATGATGCATTTCTAATTGGACGCGGCCTCTAGACGTGGCAGGGACACAGAACTTCAAAAGGGTTGGACTCATGGGGGTAGTGGAGCTGAGACACTGCTAAAAAGATCCTGAACCACCCGACAAAAAATGTTGTAGGCCTTGTTTTGTCCCCTTTGTGTCACTGTGCCATCATTACTGTGCTGGTAATTCTTTAAACCCGTAATACAGTTCCTTTGGTGCTGCTTCAGGTACTTACCAAATATACACACTGCAAACTGTGCAAAAGTCTTGAGTAATCAGTCGTTCCTTAAATTTTGTATTTGGTTGTCTGAACCTTCTCATATAGGCTGTTAGAGGGTCTTTAAAGGTGGTTCTCTACAACATTGACAAAATGTCATTGGTTAGAGCCATGAAAAATATCACAGAAAACCCAGTTTGACTGAAAGAAGGTATGAGCTCCAACAAGATGATTCTCAAGAGCTTACAGGGTTCTTTCCCATCATGTGCAGTTTGAACTTTCAAACCTGAAACAAATCAGAGCAAAATTGCTGTGTCAAGGTTTTTTCTTTCCTCCCAAACAGAAAACGTTCGTAGGATCTTTAGAAGTGGTCTTGATCAAAGTTTCTCCAGACTCTAAGAAAGATCTTGAAATCTTTTACGTTGGTTTCCATTAGCTCTTTATGACATTTCAATCATTTAATGTGAAGATGTGTTTTATTTGAAATATTGGGTTTTTTTTTTATTCTTACTAGTCTGACCAGTTCATAGAAAATAAAATGTATTGGATCTACAAATGTCCAACCTCCATCAGATGATCAATAGAGAAAATAGCCATGAAAGACACAGAGATGCACATTTCTGGAGCTGAAGTTCTCTGTAGCACAACTGCCACCATTGTTACCTTGGTTCTGTTTTACTGGTAAAAGAAGTTTTAGGTTAAAGACAAGATGGTGATTTTTTTTTTTTATCCACTGATGTTTTTTCTGACATAAATCACTTAACAAATGAGAACAGTGCATATCCATTAGAAAATGTTCATTACTGTGCTTCTTTTTTTATCAGAGCAGCCATATTGGATTTTAAAGTCAAAGTTTGCAGGAAGCCTCATATGTTTCTTTCTTGGTGTTTTGACCTCAGGTCATTTTAATTTTTATTTTTAGAAATGTACATTTGATAACAAACTTAACAAACAGAGCCAATATTTTTATGAAAAATAAAGCCTTGTCTTTTAGTGGTGGCTAACAGCTTTTTGGGGAATACCCTTGTTGGGGAAAAACAAAAAAAAAACATTTCCCATCAAACTTTTTATTTTGGATTTTTCATGGATTTATCAAAGGAATCAGGAACAAGTTATTTTTCCTCTGTTTTGGGAACAGTGATTCATACATTTGTGATTGAATGGGTCATCATCAGAGTTAGGTGGATATAACATGCAAGACAGCAAAACGTAGATATAAAGCTGTCAAAGGTCATAGATAGACCTTCAGAAAGACTGGAGATCTGTTTATTAAGTCCTCTTTAAGGATTTTAAAAAGCCAGAAGGAAAATATAAACTGAAATTTGGACACGTTAGATATTTTGCCTTCCACTCAAAGACAAATCAGGTTTATTATTGATTCCAGGTTGAGATCTGAGAGGACAAAAAATCATGTGTCCACACATATTTGTTGTCTCTTGGTCATAAAATAACCGGAAAATGAGTCAAAACAGATTTAGAGGGGAATAGGCTTTCCTCACAGAATTACTGAGAGGAGTTTGGTTCTCTGTGTCTCTGAGGTATTTTCTCTGGGTGCTCTGGGAATACAGGGTTTTAAAGGTAGCCAAAACTTGTTTGCTCCAAGTAGGAGCCATGTCTGCATTCTTGTCACAATGTCGAGCCCCTTTAAGCAAGTGTTGGACTCCTCCAAAGCTGCCTGTTGGATCACCCAGGGTGTTCCCTGTTCTGCCTGTTAAGAATAAAATCACCAGTCTTCTCTTTTCACTGTTAAAAAGAAGTTTTCTCACTTAGGAATGCTGATAAATTTTAGCACTGGTTGTCCAAAGTAGAACTTTTGGTTTGAGTATCTTTAGAGAGCTTTAATTATCACTTATCAAGTCCTCAGTCTTCCATCAAAAATAACCTTTTTTGGTTGATCCCAATGCTTAATTATTTGCAGACTTAGTCCTCCCAGTTTGCAAAACTAGTTTATTCCTAATTATTGAGAAGTCATGGGATTTTTCTCTCTGCAAGCGTCAGGAGATACAAATTGTTTGCTTCATGTTTTTATGCTGACCTAAGAAAGTTATTTAAAGTCGAGCGGGAGCGCGATTCAAAGCAGCGCATGCTGGCCTGAGACCAGCTGAGCTCCTCTAACAACACACAACGTGCCAGTAAATCTCAGGGGGGTTGGTTCTGATCTAACCGTGGTAATCTACAGATCTGAGTCACTCAAAGAGAAGAAAAAGTGAAAAGTCGATTCTAGAAAGATCCACAAATTCTTTTTCACCAAGATTTTCATCCACGGTTAAAGAAGGACATCTTCTCCTCCAGTTTAAACATTCATTTTTATTCAATATCTAACTTTAACACCTTTAAAGAGTTGGATATAGTTTGTTCTGGCATTTAAATTGTCTTTTTGTTGTATAGAAAAGAGAAAAATCATCTACAGGGAGCAGTACTGTTCACCGATTCACTTCTTTTAGAGGACACTCACCAATTTGATTTCTGTGTTGCAAAAGAAAAAAATCATAGTCATTAAAAGACAGAGAAACTCCCAAATGCTGTGGGAAGAATTCTGGAATCAATTGTAATTAATTCCTAAAACAAATACCTGCACAGCTCATTTATGCAAATGAGGCTGCAGGATCCAAAGCTCTTGCAGACCTTTTCAAGCAGAATGAAAGAGACATGAAAGGGTCTCTATTTAGGAATAAATCACCAGTGGAAGTTCAGGAAAGAATATAAAATCATTAAGGGGAAAAAAAGAAATGGCGGCTCAGTCAGTGTTTGAGGAAATAACGAGGAGTAATTCAATCGTTAAGCAGGAAATGATGGAGTCACGACCAGACAAATCTGCACATAACTTTGTTGGAGTTCTTTAACTTCTGTTACAGCTTTTCTTTTCTGAAGTCTTCCTCATGGAAAACCTCATCAATTACCTTCCAATATTTTCCTATAGCGACCAAATGTTCTGGATAAAGATCTGGATGGTTGGAAGTTAATCTGAGTTTTCTGAATTAAACGTATTTCGCTGGATTGAGATGATTAACCCAAGACTCTTCCATAATCTTGTTCTTCTTAGTAGTCATCCCAGTGCATCACCAGCCTTCATCTCACCATGCGGGTTGTCTATTCAACTTCTACACCAACCGTCTCCACGTCCTTCATTAAAAACAAGCTCCATCTCTATTAAATCAGCAGACCTTTAGACTGATGGAAGGTGTTAATATCCAGCTGTGCATTGCCTGGCATTATGTTTCATTCGGTTGGAACTAAACCAGTTTTCCTGGATCATCTTTGCCAATATGGATTCTTTCTTCACATCACCTACAGCCTCCAGAACCTTCTTTCCTTTTGTTGTTTCCTTCAGTGTTTTTTCTATGGTTTAACCTGGTGGTCGGTTCACCTGTTTTTTCCACCATGGGTCCTTTAGGGGATCCTCTTTATGGTTTCAGTTTGTGTCTCTAATGTTGGGTTTGTGTTCATGTTCAACCAACCCCCTTTCCAAGCGTTTCAGGGTCTAAAAAGGTTAACTGCTGACTTATCTGCATAAATAGTATTTGAAGATATTTGCTTTGGAAATATACATTAAATACCAGTGCCTAAAATCTAATCTTTTTTTATTTGATTAAAAAAATCACTATTAATAAAAAATTAATGTCATTTATTGTCTTAAAAGTGTATACAGCCAAACCCAGCTAATTTCTGGGATATAATTTTAGATTTTCATTGCAAATCGTTGTATTTTAAAAGAAACATGGTTTTGCCAGGGTTTAGGACGGCCTTTTGATCCTTCCTCTCTTACAGACTGTATTTTCAGTGTGTGAAAAAAATCTGATGCCAATAAACAAGAATTATGCCTTCAGTCTGTGAAATGTTTTCTCTCCACCAGCACCACTACTTTGGAACAAATAGTTTATGTTTGTTTTACAGCAGCAGTCAAACAGGAAGACGCAGAGATGTGGAGAGCTTTCAGTGGGTCAAAGGTTCAGCTATAAGGCGGATAAACAGGATTCACAAATGGCTGCTGGTGAGCGTTTGTTTGAAGAGCGAAGACATAGGCAGGCTCTGTGTTTATAGCCGCTGAATGTCTGAAATATTGACTTTGATTCGTTGTTGATTGCAGATGTGTCTAGCAGTTCTCATTGATTTTGCTACTAAAGTGGGGAGAATGGCGCTAGGCTTACTGCCCCGTGACATCACTGCTGGAAGATGTCAGAAGTGACGTGTTACTATATTTGGGCAAAAATGTCCGCTCCCAAACTCAGTGATCTGCAATGAAAATGATTGTTATTATTTTTTTTACTGATTAACACTAAATTCATTAAATCACCACAAACATATTAGTTTTAGGTATAAATAATGATTCATTGATTATTCCTTGCTGACCAGACTTCTCTTTTAAAGCTCTCTGCTCCCAAACTGTACAGGTAAACCAGGCAGAGGCGGTTAGATATCTGGTTAAAGAGTAACCTCACATAAAAGGGTTAGGTAAAATATCTCAGATAAGACACCTATAAACTGATAATAAACTTCCAATGAAGTTATCAATTTTCCAAGAACACCAACAGCAGCTGCTGTCAGTAAAAGTAAGCGCACCTTTCGCCGTAATAAAAACAACATGGCAGGATGTTTTAAAAGCTACATCTAAGTGAGGGGAAAGGCTTCAAGTAGAAATGTTTGACCAAAATGCACAGAATCATGTTTTAAGCATTGTTAAACCGCACATAGAAAAAAAACAAGCATGGAGGGTGAAGGCTAATGATTGGGAAAGCATCAGGAATTGGAAACAAGCAATCAGCTCAGGAAAGCTGTGATCAAAGGTCAGTTTTTAAACACAGAATCTGCATATTTGTCCCTTTTATTTTTCACAAATGAAGCCATTTATTATTTCTGTTAAATTCTGTGACCCATTAAGTGAGGAGCAGACGATTTACTCTGAATGAGAGGTGGATTTCTCTGTAATTTGGTTCCTGTTTTAACTTGGAGACATGTTGGTTATGTAATAAACTCTTTTTATTGCCTCCTGATTCATAAATACTGTAGATATGAGGACCTGGCTGCACTCCTACAGAACAGACAAGTTTATAAGAAATAAAAACAAGATTCCAGTTTAATGAAACTATATGTGATTTTTATACAGTCACTAATAAATCCTGCTTCTGCATCATCAATAAATGTGTTTTGTTTCGCATTAAATTTAAAAAGGACAAACATAAAAATGGCAAAAGCAGGTGGAAATATTACCGCCTGTGTTTTAGCTGGAGACAGAAACACAGAAAAACAGATGATAACTGATCTCAGTCACATCAACAAACACCCACGGGAAATGTGATGAAGCACTTAATGGTGAGATCATTTCCCTCTCTCCTGTTCTGCTGGCAGTGCAATGCGGCTGTCAGGTCCTTGAAATTCCAGCAAAACACTCAACTTACACCAAACATAAAAAAAAAAAAAAAATTGTTTCTGTTAGCACTTTGATTCTGTTTTGATTTCTCATCTGAAGGAAAAAGATCTAAATTTTCTGCTAAACATCTCCAGAGGAAAAGAGATTGTGAAGTGTTAGTCACACAGCAACAGGCTCTCTGCAGCACGGCCGTCTGAAACGACTGACCATGAAAGGATGAGTGAGCAGGAAGCGTCTGTTTAGACAAGGCCTGAATGTTCAGAGGGTGGGAGGCGACGGCGGCTGGTTGATCACACATCAGAAAGTCAGGTCCTTCTCTCCCAGCGAAGCGAAGCACTCGTCCACGTACTGATCAGAAACTTCCCCCAGGGCTGACGGATTCCAGCGAGGATTCTGGTCTTTGTCGATCAGAACTGGAGAAGCACAGAGGTGGGTGACATTTAACCGCCTCAGAGGCGGGTCAGCTGATACGAACAGCGATTAAATAACAGCAGGAGGACGTTTTTAATGCAGACATCCTCTGCTGATGAAGGGAGGTGGAACATGAGAAGAATATCTGCATCTGATATGAACCCCCCATACACACACAAGCTCTGTTTTTAGACAAAGAGGCAAATTTTTATACCTTTAACCAGCAAATTATTCTAAAATTGACCAAAATGTACAAAATACTATAATAAATTAATATATTTAGGTTAAAGCTTCAATTAATGACACAATAAGACAACAGCTGGACTGATTTTACCAAGAAAGATCCAGATTTAAAGCTGTATTTCAATCATTAAACATGATTAAATAAACAGAAACAAACATGCACAACAAAAATTAACTGGTTTAAAGTAAAATAAAACAACCAGATTTTAATTGGACTTTATTAAAGAGAAATTAATGGTACTTAATGAAAATAAACTGGACTGAACCAAATAAAGTGAGAATGAAGTGCTCTAAATGTGATAGGGTTTAATCTGAACGGGACTGGGGTGAAATGAAGAACAATAACCTGAACGTAATCAGGCTCTGACTATAATAATCTGTTTTTTAACAAGTTAATTCTTTTAAACAAACTGGACATTGTGTATTTGGATTAAGGTCCTAAGAATCTCTATAAATTAGACAATCAAATAACATCCTAATGCATTGAATCGGACCAGAACTTTATCCTAGCCTAGAATGAGATGGGCTTAATAGATTATTTTTATTTGAATCTGACAAATCAATTGAAAAAGGCCACAAAATCTAATTGTACTGTATTCATTTATTGTTATTAGAAAAAACATTACTTTAAGTGTTTTAGTGAACTGGATTAAACTGCAGTATGTGAATCAGCCTGAGGCTAAAATCAGATGGATTCTATATGGGTTGAATTTTATCAAACTATTTTAAATAAAAATGAAGTGGGTCATATTAAACTGGGAATTATTTTATGTGAATTTAATATAAAATAATCTTTTAATTTTACCCCAAATTAATAGTTTAAAACTAACTTTCATATCTGAATTAGAGAACATTTGAATGAAATGGAAATTGAATTTGAGGAACCAAAAAAACACAACAAACACCTCCCCCAGTAAGACTCTGAATAAATGTGATTAAAAACATCTCCTTTATCGTCAACAGTGAACCTTTAGTGTTAACTCACCTGCGCGTACGCCCTCATAGAAGTCATGGCCTCTCTAGAAAAAGAAAATCAGAACTAATCAGCAGACTGTTCTACATGGTTTAAACTACAACTCTAACAGCAATGCACCCACTGAGACCAAACCTAATGTCCAGAGAAGCTGCAAAAGCATCATCAGAGTCAGTGGTGATGAAAAAATGTCTGCTATTACGTCTCAATGATGTTATTTGTAATATGAAACTCCTCCCAACATGGACATGCCATGGGGTCAGGGCAGGGAAGCTTATTGAGACATGAGGATTTCTAACATTTTCAAATGGAACTATTCTGTATTTGGGTTTTTTAATCAGTCTTATGCATTTTTCTTCTTAACACCTTGATGGGGATTTCAACCAGAGAAAATACATCTGAACGAGGCTCAGGAATACATCACTGGAGGTTTAACCAGCAGCTATATCCCTTTAGATGAAGTAGGGATTGAGTGGTGGAATTTGACTGCATTCCTAATGGATGAGTTTTGTTTTTAGAAGATGAAACCCCCTGATCACGTCATGTTTTCTCTTTTCAATTAATTTCAGTTTTGTTTTATTTTTTTTCCCGGTTCTTGTTTGCGGCTCTGGTTTGTTCGGTTTACCATGCAGGCCTGGCTCAGCCGATACTCCATCACCAACACGTCCTGCAGGCTCAGGGTGGCGCCCGCCTGCAACTGTTTGAAGGTGATCTTCAGGGACGTGGGAGACATTTTGGAAAGAGTCTAAAAGAAGCACAAGCAGCAGATGATCATCATCAACAGAGTTATAATTCAGAGGGAAACTGATCGGTTCTAAAAGGGCACTGATGAAGCAAAGACAGCAGAAGAATATAGAGTACATATCTTTTATTCTTTAGATATTCTTTAAAAAGCTTTTTTTTTTTTTTATGTTAACTTTGTGATAAAATGAGGAGTGGTGGTCTAGTGGTCAGGGGATTACATTTGGATCCCGGAGGTTCTGACTTCAAGCCCCGTTCCCACAGACTGCCACTCTGGGTCCCTGAGCAAGACCCTTAACCCCCACACTGCTCCCCGGGCGCCACACAATGGCAGCCCACTGCTCCCCAAGGGGATGGGGACTTGTGACAGTGATAAAAAGTTGAAAAAAGAAAGGTTGAAATAAATAAAATAATGAAAGAAATTTTCCAAAATTCCAAATCTAGATCATACAAAGTTGATGAGTGTTTAGGTTCTGATTTGGTTAAAACATATTAAATGATTAAATATTTTATTGTTAATTAATTTATTTCTATCCAAAGTAAGGCAAAAAATAGAAACAGGTTTTCCTTCTTTGTTTCCAAAAAATCTGGAACCCGGAATAAAATTCAACAAGATTTAAATTATTTAAGGAAATTTAACACAGTTACTAAACATTTCACAAGTCTAAATGTCAGACTTCTCTAGACTGAAATATTAAAGTTTACTTCATCTTTTTTTATGGAATATTTGTTATCTAAAGACACATTTGAGGATGGATGAATTACAGGTTAATTAATTTCTGGATCTTTCTGGGTGGAGTGCTACATAGCATCTAACCGCTCATTAAGACATGATCACTGATGGGTGACTGGATAAAACCACTAAGACACTGGTACACAGATATATAAACAAAAGTTATCAATTTTAACTTTGTCTTTTCATTGAACTGTGTTAAGGAGAGAGTTTCATGTCTTACCTTCAATAAAGTACAGCTGCTTATTGTGTTTTGGTAATGATGCTTTAATATGGGTGTTGGGCTCCTTTAAACCTTGAGCAGGTTTAAAGCTATTCAGCTCAAAGATAGGTTTATGAACAGAGCAGTCACTTCTAGTTAAATCCTTTAACTAATCACTGTGGTTTGGGTGAGACGTCCATTAAACACTAAAATTGTGGTTAATAATTACTGGTGGGTGACATTAAAGCCATAATTCACAGTGATTTATAACTACACTGCATAGCTGATCTGATTTTAAAGGTGTTACAAACTGCCGCAACAGATTTAGGCAGCAAGTTTCTGCCAACATGTAGTTCTATTTCTGCACAGCGCCTTTTCCTAAGAGCATAAATTAACAATACAGTGAGAGTGGTTTTGGTTCAGCAGCAGATTAAGGTCCAACCTCAGCTTGTTTCTTAGCAAACTCTGATCCGTCGGCCTTCAGGTTCTGCATGATTCCCTCCACACTGCCGGAGCCAAAAAGCCTGAATAGAGGTGAAATAAAAGGGAAAATATGGGTTTACACCACGAAACAAACAGCAAGCTGTATCAGTGTTCAATTGGGTTGAGTAAAACAACTCCAGTTAGTGCCAATCCTGAAACCTTTTTTTTTTTTTTTGGTTTAATTTTGACATGTCATTTTATTTTATGCTTTCTAAAAGGTTCATCAAAACTCACCTGTCAATATCAGAGATATGTTTGTCCAGGACAAAAGGTTTGTCAGAGTCCAGATCACTCTATGGCAGAAACACAGGAAACCACAAGTGAGAAACATAAACTAATTTAGATTCAGCACCTTCTTTATTGAATGGTACAGTTGGTCAAATTCGGAAAGAATTCATGAAATGAAATTATACTTTATTTCAACCAGCATCAGACACACTGAAAAATGGAGAAATAGAACCTCTAATTTGGGAATATCTATTCTGTGGGAACAAAGCTCGATATTTATAGAACTATTATTTGATTAATTTACTTATACAATGAACTAGATGTAAATACAATATTTTTTAAGATTAAATGTTTAATTTTAGAAGCTGATCAGCAAAAATAACTTCCTCTAATGCCTATGTTAGGTAGAGTGGAGGCTAAGTGATGCTGTGGGCTTTTTTATCCTTTTAAAGGCTCTGAGGACCTTGTTAGAGTAAAAGTAGCATGATGTGAGACTGTGACGCCCTGGGAGAAATTTAAGGAAGTTGTTATATAAACAAAGAAGCTCTCTGAAAACACCTGAAACATCTTTGCTTTACCAGCCAACTTTAAGGCAAAGACACTAAAGGAAGTTATTGCAAGTCATAAATCGCTATAAAAAGGTCTTCTGCATCCGGAGGAAGAATGATGAATGGCAAAAAGTCTTGTAGACCGAGAGTGAAAATGGAACTGGACAAGAGAAGGTATTGACACTGGACAGGTCCCCAGTCCATCCCAGGGCAACACAGAGAAACACTCATACCTAAAGGCAACTTAAAGTCAGTATTTAACAACACAGTCGGGTTTGGAAGGGAGCCAAACCCAGGATCTTCTACTGTAAGATAACAGTGATACCAACTGCTTCACCATGCAGCTTACCCTTAACATATTTAAGAAAATTTTAAATGTGTTGGAGCCTTAGTGGGTTCTGATGCCTCGTTGGTTCCTAACCTGCTTCTGGAAAGACTCCAGCAGTCTGGAGACGTCCGTATCAGATGGAGACTTCAGGTCCACAAGCTCCTTCTCCAGGTCTGGGATCTGCAGGTGGAAATATCTTTCAGAATTGGAACTCGCAGAATTTTATATTTTTACTATGAACAGTTTTTTTTTTTTTTCAACTTTAATAAATAAAATTGTTTTAATTTGCTAAATGACAGAAAATTAAGAAGAACATTTTTAACTTTAGTCAACCTAAGAGGTTAACATGAACAAAGAACACCATATGCTGAAACAGTTAGGGGAAGTCCTAATAAAGATTTAATGGTTTTGTAAGCTTTTGATTGTTTAATATAAAACCTTTGAATTAAATAGACCCCTACTTATGGATGAATTACCATGTGGGGAATCATGGTAAAAAAAAAATCAAATGAATTAAGCCGAGATCAGGGAGAGAACTGACCACTTACACAAGTCTAGATCATCTTTGGGTCAAATTTTCAGATAGCTGAAGGTTCTGCGTTGCATGTTCAAACAATAATACCTCAGTACAAAATGCATTAGAAGGTCCAGCCATCATATCTTTCAGAAAGAAGGTGGTTTCTTTGTACCAAAAAAAAAACAGATTTTGGTAAAAATCAACCTCAAAGCAAGAGATAAAGAAACTGCTAAAACTGGTTTGAGTCTTTATCCATAGTGGAACCAGTCCTGAACCACCATAAGCTGAAATGCCACTCAGGAAGAAGCCATTACTTCTAAAGCACCAAAAAAAAAGGCACAAACATCTGCATTGTGAAAAAAAGAAAATAATAAAAAAAATAAATAAAAAAAAAGTATTTCAGCCAAAAAAGGAAAGCTTGGATCCAAATATGTTATCCAAATTGATCACGTTCCTTTGGATTTTCAGTAAAACACTTTTGGAAGGATGCTCGAAATGTTTGACCTGAGTCAGACAATGTAAATGTAAACCTAATTTTAAAAAAAAGAGGAAAAAAAATGTTTTCCCCTAATTGTTCTATCATTCAGGAAATAAAACTGTATTTAGTAAATCTTACCAGAGCTAAAACAGAAATGTTTTAATCAACTTTAATGTTAGAGAGTGAGGATAAAATGTTCTGTTTTTATAATCTAAGAATAAATCTGGTTTTAACCTTCTAAGGAGTGTTTACCATTTTTTATATTCTGGTGGAATTTTTTGGGTCCATGTATCTGTGCTGTTGGCACATGTTGAGTACTTCATTGCTGCCAGTATGGCTTGGTTTTAATTTGATGCTCCAGCAGAATCCTGTAGGTCAACAGTACTTTATAACAAATTCAAGGTTATTGGCTTGAACAAACTCTGCTGTCCGCTGCTTTGACTGCAAGCCAAGAGCGAGACCCACACCTGGCCATAGGGCCAGCCAGAAAGTGTTGGCGCTCATACATAAGATCTCTGATTCACCCACTGACTCAACATCTGGCCTGAACTGCCCCCTTCATTCGTCCCTGAAGCGCGGATCTAACACAGTCGGTGATTCAGACTCGTGTTTTTTACCCTTAATGTGATTATTAATTGAAGTTAGATCACCTTCTTAGATTCTACAAAGTGAGTGGCGACTCCAGCTCGCTGAACATCACGTCCCTTCAGCCGGAAGCCCGTCAAGGCGAGGAACAGTCCCAACTTTCCCTGGAGCCTCGGCAGGAAATAGCCCCCTCCCACATCAGGGAAAAGCCCTGTCAAAATAAAACCATCACAGTTTTTGTTACTCTTCCCTTGTAGGTCATCTTGAAATTCCTTTAATTGAATCATTTCACTGTTCTTGGTCTTCGTCTAGAAATCCCCAAAATAATGTGACCTTTATTTGTTTTTAATGCTCAGCTGTGTTAATCAGTGTAGTGCTGATCCTGTTGTTATGATATTTAGATGTTTTGTGTAATAATGTGGGGTGATGGTGGGGAAATTCCAATAGTAGCTCGGGTTTTTGAACGTGATTGGGGTGTTAGGGATGTTTTATAATGTTAAACACTTTTTGTTTCATAACTCATGAGAAAACAAGCTGGACTTAAAGTTCAGACTGTGACCAAATAAAAGACTTCAGCCAAATAAATGAAGGCGAGGGACTTCTGTCTATAAAGGAACCAGCAGAGGAGTTTAAGGCACCTCCTCATGAAGATTCCAGATTTCTTCTCTCAGTTGCACTGATTGTACATGTTCTGTTGCTTTTTTAGATTTTATTTATTTTTTTTTTTTTGTTTAGGTGGTATTTTTACCGTTTGTTGGTGGCTTTGTTAAGGTGATTGGATTTTAAGTACCGTACCGTTGGTTTGTCCATAGTGTTTGGATTTTTGTGTTTTAGTGTTATTTATTTTTGTGTTGTTAATGCGTCGATTTGTTGGTCACATGGTTGATTGTTTTTCTTTGGTCCTGCTGATTGGTTGGTTTTTGTTGGTTGTGTTTGTCTGTTTGTTCTTTCAGTGTTCACTGTGGTGCTTGGTTGGTAACCTGACTTTGCCAGATGGATTTGCTCCGCATATCCATCTGGAAACCTTCCGTTGAAGTACTTTTGGGAAGGGGCGAAAATACTGGTTAGCTGATTGGCCTATGTTGGTGATAGACGGGCCAAATAAACCAATCAGATCAACAAAGCATATGACGTACTAACAGAGCAACGACGAACACACAACCACAAGCCAGGCTACTCTTGCCGAAACCAGTCGGGAGAAGAGCAAAAACATCTTTTCCTCTGAGAAAAGCCTCCAGAGCAGTGTTTTGCTCTTCTTTCAGTGAAGAAATACTCTGTAATTCCAATAAAACTTGCTCGATAGCCACGCTAACGCTAGTTTCATCGGCTGAAGCCGCCATGTTCTTTAGACTGAACTGTCGCGCTTCTCGTTGCGTCACACCTCAACCCGCCTCAAAGCCAACTCTGATTGGACGTTCGTTTGGTGAACGGCTCCAAATTTTCTTTAACTGAGAGTCTCCAGCTGATTAGCGAGTGAAACCTTGAAAGCTCACGAGATCAGGATGGTCTCACGAGGCTAGTTGGTTGGTAGCGTTGTCCATTTTGTATGTTTTTTATTGCTGGTGGTTTTGCTTCGTTGGTTGGATGTGTTAGTAGTTTTGTATTTTTTTGCTACTGTTACTTGGTTGGTTGTGTTGTTATGTATGCTGGTCAGAGTGAATTAAATCTGTGGCAGGTGGCCTAATCCAGGAGCCATTTACGTTAGCTGTTGTTGTGCATCAGCCACACATCTTATGATGTTTAGGATTCTTTTTGTAGCCACCTACTACCCTTACATTTAATATATAACATTTTCAAAAATCAATGTTAATATTCTTGCAAAAAATTCTATGGTCAAACTTGGTTTATCATACTTTTGTGTTTCCTTGTAAAAAGCATCCAGGGGATATGAGTTAAAGCTACAGGGATTAGATAAGTTGACCCCATTTATGGCTCAAAAAAATCATATGATAAATGTGTCAGATTATAGCTTTTGTTTAGGACACTAAAGGGGGTCGGAATAAATCTGTTAATCCGGTTAAAGGAAGAGTTGATGTTTATATAAGAGGACAACTGTTTGCCCAATAAACAAGAGTAAATAAAGAGGTGAAATAAGATAATGTATATTCTTTCTAATGATGTGCGGCCTAAAAAGGTTTAATTTATCTGCCTCATCAGATGCAGATAAATGGTGTGAACCCTTAGATTCAACTCTATGGGGACTGTTGATGTTAATTATTGAGGATGTCGTGACGACGTTCAGAGTAATTAGGGCACACCTGCATGCACTAAACAGATTGAATCCTCTGCAATCAGCCTACGTGTTTCCATCATCTTTATAATTAACAGGAACATCTACAGGGACTAATGCAAACTCACACTGGGCCTCATACAAATTTGTAAACAACTTTGACTTGTTGACACGGTACTTCTGAATGTTTTAAAATTCAAACAAATTGTTGATGCCTGATTTAAGATTTAGTCTGATTTTGAAAACCTGTGGATAATCATAGTTCAGAAAAAAAGAAAACATTATTCTACAGTGTGATTAATCTGAAGAGCATTTGATTACAGAATCCCTGCTAAAATTTAAATGTTGTGCAGCTTTGCTCATCTGGGGGGGAAAAAATCCTGTTTTCAGTGGGGTTAAAGTGCAGCTATAATTACATTTCAGTGGCCTTTCAGCCAGAATTGTTTTAGAGGAGAATGTGAATAAGGAGATGATACACCATCTTCAACACCCATCTAATCTGGATCCTGCACCTGCAAAAAAATCATTATTTAGGAAACAGGACATGCACTGGTTTCAGGGTTTAAAACATTTCCAGTTGGCCATGGGGTTGTTTCCAGTATAAAGAAAAACTTGCAGAATTCAAAACAATGAAAGGCTTCCATCATTCTGATACTAAAGAATGATGATTACAGTCCTATTACTGAAATGCCAGAGAACATACCCCTCACATACCTGTGGCTGTGAACTGACATTTCTCCTTGGCTCTATTGTGGCTCTATTGTGGATCATCCTGAGCTACTTTCTGTTTTTCTGCTGCTATATGCTTTGGCTGCTGGATAACATAGGGACCACTTTTCCTCATTCTGCTTCATTCATTGTATTTCTATTCCACGACTGCAGTATTTGTCAAGTTCCACTCATTGCTTTGGTCTCTTTGCTTTCCTCATCATATTATATTCATCTGTTTTTTTTTCCTGTTTGTCTGTGAAAACATCCCAGAGAGAAATATCAGCTATGTTTCTGCCTGTATGACATACACTCACCGGTCACTTTATTAGGTACACCTGTCCAACTGCTCGTTAACACTTAATTTCTAAGCAGCCAATCACATGGCGGCAACTCAGTGCATTTAGGCATGTAAACATGGTCAAGTCAATCTCCTGCAGTTCAAACCGAGCATCAGTATGGGGAAGAAAGCTGATTTGAGTGACTTTGAACGTGGCATGATTGTTGGTGCCAAGAAGGGCTGGTCTGAGTATTTCAGAAACTGCTGATCTACTGGGATTTTCACGCACAACCATCTCTAGGGTTTACAGAGAATGGTCCGAAAAAGAAAAAACATCCAGTGAGCGGCAGTTCTGTGGGAGGAAATGCCTTGTTGATGCCAGAGGTCAGAGGAGAATGGCCAGACTGGTTCGAGCTGATAGAAGGGCAACAGTGACTCAAATAACCACCCGTTACAACCAAGGTGGGCAGAAGAGCATCTCTGAACACACAGTATGTCGAACTTTGAGGCAGATGGGCTAGAGCAGCAGAAGACCACACCGGGTGCCACTCCTTTCAGCTAAGAACAGGAAACTGAGGCTACAATTTGCACAAGCTCATGGAAATTGGACAATAGAAGATTGGAAAAACGTTGCCTGGTCTGATGAGTCTCGATTTCTGCTGCGACATTCGGATGGTAGGGTCAGAGTTTGGCGTCTACAACATGAAAGCATGGATCCATCCTGCCTTGTATCAACGGTTCAGGCTGGTGGTGATGGTGTCATGGTGTGGGGAATATTTTCTTGGCACTCTTTGGGCCCTTTGGTACCAATTGAGCATCGTTGCAACGCCACAGCCTACCTGAGTATGGTTGCTGACCATGTCCATCCCTTTATGACCACAATGTACCCAACTTCTGATGGCTACTTTCAGCAGGATAATGCGCCATGTCATAAAGCTGGAATCATCTCAGACTGGTTTCTTGAACATGACAATGAGTACACTGTACTCAAATGTCCTCCACAGTCACCAGATCTCAATCCAATAGAGCATCTTTGGGGTGTGATGGAACGGGAGATTCGCATCATGGATGTGCAGCCGACAAATCTGCGGCAACTGTCAATATGGACCAAACTCCCTGAGGAATGCTTCCAGCACCTTGTTGAATCTATGCCATGAAGAATTGAGGCAGTTCTGAAGGCAAAAGGGGGTCCAACCCGTTGCTAGCATGGGGTACCTAATAAAGTGGCCAGTGAGTGTAGGTCATTGTTGTACATAAAAACGTATTTGGCAGGATGGATGATCTCTCTTCTACTTCACACATTAAGTTGAGACTTAATTGTTAAAGCCTAGAGAGAATGATCCAAACATCAGGATCAACCAGAACACATTGCACAATAATAAATATTTTATTGTAATATCAGAAATAGGGATGTCCAAATCCGTTACTGACATTGTAACATGTAACTTATGCATGAAATTGTTTATACTTCTACTATCAAGCACAAATCTGTCCGGCAAACCAACTTTAAGTATTACAGACACTTAAAGGGCTGAAGTTAGAAATGTAGAGTTTTACTCTTGTTAAAATGGTAAATGGCATGTACTTATATAGCGCTTTTATTCAAGTTAGGAGACTTGACCAAAGTGCTTTACACTACATTCATTCACCCATTCACGCACACACTCACACACTGATTGTGGCCAGCTACATTGTAGCCACAGCTGCCCTGGGGCTCACTGACAGAAGCAGGGCTGCCGTACACTGGCGCCACCGGGCCCTCTGACCACCATCAGTAGACAATGCAGGTGAAGTGTCTTGCCCAAGGACACAACGACACTGAAAGTCGGAGTTGGGGCTTGAACCGTCAACCCTTCGATTTCAGGGCAAACTCCTACATCCAACGCCACTGTCGCCCCAATGTAATGCAACTAAAACCGACTGCCTCCGAGATTTGGAAATTGCATTTTTCTATATTGCAATTATATTGGGAATGCAATTAACAGCCCAGCCC